CCCCAAAACCCCAAAACCCCAAAACCCCAAAACCCCAAAACCCCTAAATATTTTTAAATATTGAAAAATGAACGAAAAAACCCAAGAATTACCAAAATCATCTTCCAAAAAAGCCAAGGGATTCAAACTGAATCTAAATCCTGTTGAAAAGCTGAAGAGTAAAATAAGCTCTTCTTGAGAATTACGGTGTGAAGAAATCGAGCATAAGATGGAACACATCTATCAAAATATCAAAGAATTTTCTGTTATTTACAATTGGTTTGCAAATCATCCTCTTGACTTGACCTCGTGTAAATATTACCCTTCTGTTCACTCTAATTTCCTTGTAGCGGATTCTATTTCATTGAGAGAAAGGATGAACATAATTATGTCAAACAGAAATCTTGAAATTACCCAAGAAAACAGCCATTACAAATAAGGTCGTTCGGAAGGTAATTTATTGGCATACCCTAGTTTATTCCTTTAGGTTCAAGATCTGGAAAATTCCGCACAAGGTATTGAACATATCATGAAGAAACTACAGAGTTCCTCCCTCGAGGTAGATGAAAATTTAGAAACTAAGGTTAGCATTAGTCAGTTTCAAAAGTTATGTGATCGGGTCACAGAACTTGAGGAAGCTCAAATTTCTGAGACCTCCTCAGAAACCTCTTCTGAACATCCTGAGCACTGTAAAGTTACTCACAAGGAACAATTTTTCAGCCCTCGGTTGAAAAATGACTCCAAATGTGTCAGATGTACTGAAAAGTACTATTCTGCAAAAATTGAGGAAATATGTAAAAATAAATGTACTCGCCAAGAATTTAATAAAGAAATAATGAATGTGAAGCAATTTTGAAAACAAAATTTTCTAAAGAATGCTAAATACGATCAAGATTTAGACAAAATTACCCATAAATTTGCTCACCTTCACGGGCTAGTGAAAGGAGTTGACCAACAACTCGATATAAATTTGAGGAAAATTTCTGATCTTGAGCTTGGTCTCAAGACCAAGGCTAATCATCAGGAGTTTAGCACAAAATTTGATCAAATGAGTTACAAACTTTCAGGGCTTCCTACGACTTATGAAGTAGGGACTCTTCAGGACAAACTACTTCAAAATTTAGAGGATTTTCAGGCTAGGATAACAAAGATTAAGCACACATCTCAAAGAAATGAGGCCATCATCCTCCGGCTAGATGAAGTCATCAATGAGAAAGCTTCTAAGGTATGTATCAGAGAGATAGAGAAGCAACTAATGGACGAAGTGGTGAAATATACTCCTCTTGTGAAGCATCAAAAATTGCAAGCCAACACCGAATCTGTATATTCTTCCCTATCCAATCAACTCTGAGAGACGAAAAATAGCATTGTGAGTCTTAACAAAATGGCATCAGAAGAGATCAAGAAGGCAGTACATGAGAATATTATCAAGATCCGAGAAGAAGTCAAAAACCAGATGTCAGAGACCCATAAGAGCGAGATCAGAATTCTGAAAGACCTTGTGTCTAAAAGGCCAGATCGGAACGAGTTCTTAAAATTCTTGGGTACTAAGTCTGACAAATCAGATACAGAGATCAATAAGCAAGTAGGAGATATCCTGAATAAGCAAATTAGACATCTGACCATAATCACTTTAGAACTTCTGAAGAAAAATTTGGATAAATATACTCTGAAGCAGGGCAGCCAAGAAATGATGAATGAAAAGCAAGCAAAAATAATGTACAGACAGGGACTAATGATAGCTAAATGGATTAATAGCTTTAGTTCCAATCAAGCCACACAGGATTTCTCTGTACCTGCTGATCTGGAAGAGTTTTCTACTTATGTTGACAGTTCATTACAAGATATTAATCAATATTTATTCTCAACAACAAAGAATCTATTTAATAAACCGAAGTCTAGGAGTAAGGAGGAACTCTTGAAGCTATTGACAAGCAAGAATACTCGTTGTAGGCAGCCTAAGGCTCAAATGCAGATATCTCTTCATGAAATTTCTCATTTAAGACCTACCTCAGTTAGAAAAACTCGTCTTGAAAACTCTCATAACTCAAGTTATTCCAAAGCTGAACTTGAGCCACACCAAAGAAGAAACATTACTCCAGCCAAACTCATCTCTCAAAATCATAAAGTAAGTCCAATGGTCCATTTCATGTTTCTATGCACTAATTCTCGATCTAAACATCTCTATCTAAACTCTAAAATCAAATTTTGACAATTTTCTAAAGATCATTAAAAGCAAACCGTACTCAAACAGCACAACCAAATTTCCCCAAAGACTCTCTGTCTCCTACAGAAGAATTAGAGGTAATAGTTCAAATAAGAATATTTTATAAGCAATTTCAACCAAAGGGTTCTTACTAGGGGTTTTGGGGTTTTGGGGTTTTGGGGTTTTGGGG